AACTTTTTCATGGGTTTTTACAATAGAGGTCTCATACAATATTTGTCCTTTTGTGATTGACTTATTTCACTCAGCATAATGTCCTCCAGTTTCATCCACGTTATGAGATGCTTCACGGATTCGTTGTTCTTTCTCGTTGCATAGTACTCCATTGAGTGTATGTACCATAGTTTATCCATTCATCTGTTGATGGGCATCTAGGTTGTTTCCGTCTTTTTGCTATTGTGAACAATGCTGCCATGAACATAGGTGTGCATATGTCTATTCAAGTGACAACTCTTATTTCTCTAGGATATATTCCTAGGAGTGGGATTGCTGGATCGTATGCTATGTCTATTTCTAGCTTTCCGAGGAAGCACCATATCATTTCAGAAAATGGTTGTATCACTTTGCATTCCCACCAGCAGTGCATAACAGTTCCGATCTCCCCGCATCCTCTCCAACATTTGTTATTTCCACAGTGTTTTTGATTTCTGCCAGTAATGCCGGGGTAAGATGGTATCTCATTGTGGTTTTAATTTGTATTTCTCTAACGGCTAGTGATCCTCAGCATTTCCTCATGTGTCTGTTGGCCGCCTGAATGTCTTCATTGGTGAAGTGTCTGTTCATTTCCTTTGACCATTTTTTAATAGGATTATTTGTCTTTTTGTTGTACAGGTATTGGATTTTCTTGTACATTATGGAGATGAGACCTTCGTCTGACTTGTACTGTCCAAAAATTTTTTTCCCAGTCTGTAGGTTCTCTTTTTACTCTTGGTGAAGTCTAACTGGCCTTCCGACATGCCTTCCTAACTGAGCTTCATCATTTCTAGCTTTTGATATAAAGTGAGAGATGTGCGACCCTTCCTTTCACTTTAACACTTAGAGGCCACTGCTGGATTTTTAATTGGCCTGATTTCAATGTTGTTGTGTCTCAGAGAATATGGAGGCCCGAGGAGAGGGAGAAAGATGGGGGAACAGCTGTCATGGAGCAGTGAGAACATACACAACATTTATTGATTACATTTGCTGCCTTATATGGGCATGGTTCATGGCACCACAGAACAATTATAATAGTAACATCAAAGATCACTGATCACAGATCACTGTAACAGATATAATAATAATAATCAAAATGTTTGAAATACTGCAAGAATTACCAAAATGTGACACAGAGACAAGAAGTGAGCACAGGCTGTTGGAAAAATGATGCCAATAGATTTGCCTGACGCGGGATTGGCACAAACCTTCACTTTGTAAAAAATGCAATATCTGCGTGGTACAATAAAACAAAGTGCAATAAAACACAGTATGCCTGTACTGCAAAACCAATTTTAAAAAATTATAAAATATAAAACTTACTTATATACTGAAGTAAAAACTACTAGCACTAAAGAAAAACTGGTTTTTAAAACTGCATGAAGTTATTACCTGTTTCAAGTCCAAATTCCAGATAGTTCTCTGTTACAATCAATACTGCCATTGCTTTGACGAAGAAAAAAAATCCAAAGGTAACACAGACTGATCTTTCACCACCATCTTCTACTTTAAAATAGTGTGTAGTTAATGAAAATAGAACTTTGCTGCAAAAGGAAAAGTTCAGGAAAAACCACAAATAACTTTGTGGGCATTAACACAACCATCTTTACAGGACCTGAACTCCACTATAATTTAACTACAACTTTGTTTTGATTCTACAAAATACTTATTGACAAAAGGGCATCCTGAGATGCCCTCTGGAAGGAAGTGAAAAAGTAGCGCAAAGCCAGGAAAGGAGTTACTTTAGGGAACGATCTATACTGTGAATGTCAAATAGTTTACATTTAGAATTAAATACATAAACACACAACACCAGAATCAGCTGTAATCATTCCACAATTTAAAATTTGAGAATTACTAAAAGCCACTGGTAAAAAAATAAGTATCTGGGATGTCCACTCCATGGTATGATTAAACAAAAAACTAGAGAAAGCAAGCTCCAATTTAGTATTCCAGAACAGCCAAGTCTTCAACATGCTCACCTACTTAAAAAGAGATCATCTTATCTGAACACTCAATGATCCAGTCAAGATTAAATCAGTAGATGACCCAAAGCTAGAACCCAGATCTCCACTATACCAAATTGTTCTCCTTGAACATAAAAATACAAACAAAATAAGGTACTTGGTAACAAGAATTTAGAAAAGCCATTTTTATATAACTTTATGTCTAGCATGGAAAATAATCTAATAGTAGCCAACATTTAACACTTGCCATGTGCCGAGCATTCGTTACCTATTAACTCATTTATTCCTCACATTAGCCACACTAAGGTTAAGTAACCTGCCAAAGTCTCACAGATTAGATGCATTTGGGATTTAAACCTGGATATAGGGTCTGAGCACTTATAACAGTTGATTACACTGCCTTTACAAAACTGTGTATAGCATCTAAGTCATGTGGTAGTTAAGCAGTAACACAGGAAAACTTTTACAACTAAAGGTGTGGTGTCCTGAAGAATCCTCCTTCAGAAAGTCGGGCAAGAATAAGGACTCTCATTCTTGCTCCTTAAAAGGAAGCTGTCCTTTGTTGCCCTATTTGAAAATGGTTAATACAGTTATCATGCCACCTCTATTCTTAAGGTACTGGATATAAATGTTGAGTCCCAGCTGCCAACTTGAAGATAACAAATAGGACTTCTCGGAATTTTTTAAATGGAACTGAAAATAAATCTCTACCAAAATGTAAAACTCCATGAGGCCAAGGATTCATGTCTTATTGCAATCAGAGCACTGAGAACAGTACATACCACATAGCTATTGTTAGGTGCCCTTCAGTCAGCTCTGATTCATGGTGACCTTATGTATAATAGGACAAAAAGTTGCTAGGTCTTGTGCCATCTTCATGATCACTGGTATGTTTTGAGTCCACTGCTGTGACTATTTTGTCAATCCACCTCATTGATGTTTTCCTCATTTTTGTTGGCCCTCAAATTCATCAAACATAATGTTCTTTTTAGCAATTTCTCTTTCCTGATGATTTTTCCAAAGCAGGCAAGTAGAAGTCTCACCATGCTCACTTCTAAGGAACATTCTGGTTGTATTTCTTCTAAGACTGATCTGTTCATTCTTTTGGCAATCCAAGTATATTCAATATTCTTCACCAATACCACACAGCACATGTCAAAAATTCAGTGATAAATTTTACCACAGCAATAATATTTTACATGGTAATTTTGGTAAGGTGAAATAGCATTAATTCTATGCTTTAAGAGTAAACAGATAATATATTCTAAGTCCAAAACAATCAATAATAGAAAAAGTTTTAGTCTAATATCTGTTTTCATCATTGGTAATAACAAAAATATGATTATTTACCACTCAGTTATAAAGAATTTTACAAAGCCTAAGGCATTATATTCCTAAGTCTTTTTAGTGGATAGTTTCCCCTTTAAAATGTCAACAACAACAAAAAATCCCAATTACAAGAATTGCTAATGCTTACCCACCTATTCCTGGGCAACCAGGCCCTAAGAACAGTGAGTAGTGATAAGAATTATCAATAACAACTGCCTTTAATCAAGTGCCTCACTTTTCACTAAGTATTATACCTTTTCCTGACTTTCATTATTCTCAGTTAATTCCATTCCAGCTAATCTCCCAGTTATAAAACCCTGTTTTTTCTCAAATACCATCATTCAAGATAAAATATTTTCTCAACTTTATTTTCCTAATTACTTATTTAGCAAGACTATTATTTATCTGGAGCTCTGGTGGCACAGTGGTTAAGAGCTTGGCTGCTAACCAAAAGATCAGCAGTTTGAATCCACCAGCTGCTCCTTGGAAATCCAATAGGGCGGTTCAACTCTGTCCTATAGGGTTGCTATGAGTCAGAATCAACCTGACAGCAATGGGTTATTATTTATTTTAAAAAAAAAATATGATCTTGTATGCTATGTTATAGATCAAATGAACTTTTATGGGCTAACCGTAGGGAGAAAATGCCATTTATAGCATTATTTCTCTAAGAAAAGATGTTTTGACTTCTAAGCATTTTGGAATACAATCTCCATGTAAGTTTGGAGGATTATCTAAAAATTGCTATGAAAGGAATTAATTTCAACTTTTCAAAATATTTAATTATAAACTAGTACAATATTACTTGCTACATTCTATAAATAAAGTACCTGATTTGCTTCTAGGACAAGACAAAATCAGGTAATAATAAGTAAGATAATAACTCCTGAACTTTCTGATTAAAAAGACTTCTGAATTATTTTCATACTTGCTATTATCATTATATGGTATTTCATATTTTAGAATATATATATCCAGTGCTTCAACATGTACCTTCTGAAAACATTTACCAGTTATGTTACTTCATTACAATTCTCTTAGTAAATAATTAAGCTGACTATATACAGTTAGGAGGCCTGGTGGAGCAGTGGTTAAGAGTTCGGCTGCTAACCAAAAGGTTGGCAGTTCAAATCCATGAGCTGATCCTTGGAAACCCTATGGGGCAGTTCTACCCTGTCGTGTAGGCTCGCCATGAGTCGGAATCGACTAGATGGTAACGGGTTTGGTTTTTTGGTTTTTATATATGGCTATATGTAACCATAAGAGGTTATATATAATGGTCACATATTTGAAAAAACCAATCCTTTAATGTAAAAAATGAAACTACTTAAACAAATGCCATTAGTTTATAATTAATATGCACCAAATATTCAGCAACCTAACACAAGTTTACCTTGCTCAATATAACTTTGCAGTACTCTGGTTTAAAGCAATATAGAAACCTGAAACTCACCTGAAGTAAAATACTGGCCCATATAATAATAGACGTCAATTTTTCCATGATTGTGAGCATTAGAGCAAAGGGAAAGCTAAATAACCACAAACCATCCTGCACTCAAACTATCATGGAATAGTTTTATAATTAACCAATGTAATAAACACACTATACTTTAAACTTACGATTTTTAGTAGTTCATTTAATAAACAAAAACTAAAAAAACACTTTCACAGCTTAAACTTTAAAACTTCTTATAAAACAAAATGCTACGAGTCTATTACACAATTATTTTAAAAAATCATGCAATCTTTTTAAGCATAACCCTCAATGAGATGGACTGACACAGTGGCTGCAACAGTGAGCTCCAACATAACAATTTTGAGGATGGCGCAGAACCAGGCACTGTTTCATTCTGTTGTACATAGGGTCACTATGAGTTGGAATCAACTCGATGGCACCGAACAACAACAACATTTATTTAAAATCAGACCTTTTGTTGTTTGTAGTTTGCTTTCATCTTTTTCACATTCAACCTGGTCTTCAACTCTATTATTAAAGTGATTACTATCACTTGTTGTTAAGAGCCATTGAGGGTCACTTACTTCGTTATACCACAATAATTACATTACCAAATATGTCAATATCAAAGAAAAAAATTAGTTGTAACCTGATACCAGCATGAAGCATTATCTTGCCATCTTAACCTAATAAAATCCTACATCACAAATGCCTAAGAGGTTATACTCCTGAGTCCTCAATTCATACTGTTTACAGAATACATCTTAACATCTAGAAGGGAACTTCTTTTTTTAAAAAAAACAAAACTTCTAAATCTACCAAAAAACCTGTTGCCATCAAGTCAATTCCAACTCATAATGACCCCATAGGACAAGGTAGAACTGCCCCATTGAGTTTCCAAGGAGCACCTGGTGGATTTGAACTGCTGACATTTTGGTTAGCAGCCATAGCACTTAACCACTACGCCACCAGGGTTTCCAAATCTAAAGTATAATGGTAAACTTTATGAAGGATGTACAGCTTGAGTTGTCTTTGATTAGGTGGAGAGAATGGAAGAGGGTAGTTCAGATGATAAAAAGATTATGAGCAAACACGGTGCAGCTGTTACATTCAGGAGAAGGTAAATACACCACTCTAGCTTAAGTGGACCATTGAGGACTACTGAATGAAAGCTTGAACATACAGGCATGGCCAGATCATAGAATTACATATAAGAATACTGTATGTGTATTTTACAGCAATTTTGAAGGTTGAGGATCATGGAACCATGTCTTCAAAATTATGAAGAAAAAAACCCACAAACTAGAATTCTATACTCAATCGAAGTACCAATCAAATAAGAATACAGAATTAAGACACTGTCAAAACTTCAAAGTCTAAATACATTTACCTCCCCTACACACTAGGCAGAAAACTCCACCAAAATATTTGAATACACAAAGAAAGAGATAAACAATCATAGAAATAGAAAATTAAACGTGGAAGAAAGGCAAAGGGAATTCCTAGGACAATATAAAGAAGTCCCAGAATAACAGTTGGGAAGCAGTCCAGATAAAAGGCAGAGAATATAGGTCTCCAGGAAGAGTTTCTCCACAGAGCGGGGGAAAAAAAGGAATAGATACAATTTTAAGTGACCTTGTGGAAAACTACCAATAAGCTAATGGGATTAACAATAAGTGCAGAGAAAAATAATTTTTTTAAAAATATCAATGATAAATGAAAAAATATTTCAAAAGAAACCATAGTGCTTTTCAATGTCCACCTATGAATAATATTTATATAGGCACAGTAA